ATATATATATATATATATATATATATATATATATATATATATATGATTAATATTTTAATAAATATTATCATTTCGTTATTTCATTTTTCGTCAATTTACTTCAATCAACTTCTTCTAAAATTTTTATTTCGAAAAATAAAAGATATCTATTTTTCTTGCATCTATTTTTTATTATTTTTTTTTAGAAGAAAATTTTGAAGAAAATTAATCAAAACAAATTGACAAAATTTAAAGATAACAAAACGATAAAATCTATTAAATATTAATCCTGCATATAAGAAAGGGTTATTAGCATAGGTATTTATTAAACTCACTTTAAATAAAATATAATTTGGTGTTCATAATTAATGAAACAAATCGAGGTACATATTGTGTAAAGTATTACAAATTATTAATCGTTTCGTACGTTCGTTTTTTACAGTATCTCAGAAACTGGCCAGGAGGTAGTGTTAACGCTAGTGGATACGGCTGCCGGCTTGCAGAATCTGGCTGAGCCAAAGATCGACCACGAATTCTCTTCGCGGTCGTCTATCAAGAATTCTTCGTTGCTAAGCGGCAATCAAGTCAGGCCATCTGAACATCTAAATGAGGCTGTGCCAACTACGCAAATCCCATCGCCACCAATCATCGACGAAACGACGGAACGTCCGAATGATACCGACGTCCTCGAAGACAACGAGGAGGTGCTGCTGTTGAAGAAGATTGCCACCGAGGAGCCACCAGAGGTTGTAGTGATCGTTAGGGCAGAGCAGAAAGTCAACGCGGATGAATTGGAGTTGAGAGTCGAGGATGTGGAGGCTCAAGCTCAAATGTCCGAGGAGTTATCGTCAAAGATCGATGACACGTTTACCACGGCACCAGAGTTAAACGATACTGCGGCCAGAGAGCGATTGGTTGGAGGTGGTAGGGACGAAACTGCTGCGGTGATTCTAAATGGATTTATTACTACGGATCCTACCGAGCCGCACGAAGACATACCGTCCTTTAGCGAATGGGCACAAAAGCGCTTGGAGGAGGCTGAAAAGAAGAAAAGTGAGTATTTGCCAATAGAATTCTATTAATAGTAATTTATTAATGAAGATTAATGAAGAAGCCAACAAGGCGTTCCACGTTTTCGTTTAGGAGATTTCATTTATGATACGATTGTTTTATTTTGTAGCTCATCCAAACGCTTCCGTGCAAACTCCAGGAGGTCCAGGACGAGGTATGAGCGGCATGAAGATTCGTAATAAGAATTATTGCTTCTCCTGACTGCGGCGCCAAGATTGTTGCAGCGAATCCCGAAGCGAGTAGCGCTAAAAATGTCTTGGTATCCACGCGAGATGAATACATGTTGAACGCCTGTACGTCGCGCGTCTGGTTTGTTGTCGAGTTATGCGAAGCGATACAAGCAAAGAAGATCGAACTAGCAAACTTCGAACTCTTCAGCTCGTCTCCGAAGGACTTTTCCGTGTATGTGAGCGATCGCTTTCCTACTAAAGATTGGAGTCCGGTCGGTCAATTCACCGCCAAAGATGTGAAGGACGTTCAGAGCTTTACTCTACATCCCCATTTCTTTGGCAAGTTTATCAAAGTCGAGCTCCAATCGCATTATGGTTCGGAACACTTCTGTCCTGTCTCATTGTTTCGCGCTTACGGCACTAGCGAGTTCGAAGTGCTAGAAACTGAGACGGAGAATGAAATCCTAGAGGTGAAGAACACGAATGAAGACGATGACGAGGAAGATAGCGACGAAGAGGAATTATTAGATAGCGAAGGTAGTGACTCATCGAGTAATCTTTTTGGTAGCGCACGCGATGCCGTGTTAAGTGTAGTGAAGAAAGCTGCGGAGATTCTGGTCAAATCCAGCGGTCTCACTGATAACAACATCACGCAGATCCAGCAAAGTATTGATCACGGTAACATTTTGGATAATTCGTATACGAGCTGTACGACACCAAGGTACACAATTCTCTGCGGTAATTGCACCGATCAGAAGTTTGCTAGTGTCTTCCAGTTAGTCAGTTGCAAAAACCGGCAGTTGGATGATTTGCTTAGGATTGACTTGGTGAATAGAACTCTAAGACGCGGAAGATTATGCGGCCTTCACGGCGTTGAGATCGAATCGTTTTGGCGGGGAAGAGAGGACGAAGAAATAAAACGCGATGCAACAACGTGCTTTAATCTAGCAGAGGATTTTCAGATAACCTTCTTAACTTCTTTTTTTAAACCCGAATATATTGTGGCATTGTGCAATGTTTTGGCAACAAAGGAACGCAAGGTAGTGATGAACACGAGCTATGAAATTTCTGTAAACAGATCTAAGGATATTACCAACGAAGTTTTATCTACCAAGGATACCGATCACAATGTCGAGATTACTTCTCATCATCAGACGTCCTCCAATGTAGATCCATGTATTCTAGAATCAAGTCCTTGTAAGTCTGCAACGTTCTCGAAAGATGTTCGACGACGTCCATCGATTCAAAATATCGGCGAGGAAAGCGATAATATCAGCGTCGTGACTATAGAGACATCAGCTACTTTTCCAGAGAGCCTGGCGTCGCAAATTAAACCCACGAAAACACTAAATAAGGAGGACTTAAAGAAAGATTCGTCTGTGCCGATTTTGGAACCCAGCAAAGAACCTACGGAAGAAACGTTGCAGCCACAAGTGATGACGACTGTTCCACTGCCGTCCAATCCGACACCGACATTGAAAATCGCCGAAGAGTTACCGGTCCAGGGAACTCCTGTCGAAATGACGTCACCAATAAGCAGCGTTCCGTCAAATATCGATAGTCAAGAAATGGGCGATATTCTCGTGCCTGATACGGAAAACGGGGAGACTGTTGCACAAATTAAAATGGACAGATCGGAAAACGGTGAACAGGACGGGAAACAGGCGAATCTAAGCGAGCAAGAGATTCGATTGTCGTCTCAAGATCAGCTCTCGTTAGATTCATTGCTGTCCGATTTGAAAGATTTAGATGTCGATACGACTAACATGCAGAATGGAGTGTCCAGCTCTTCGTCTACGACTCAACCCACAACGAATATCGCTCCTCAAAAAGAATCTGTCTTTCTTCGATTATCCAACAGGATTAAGGTGGGAATAAAGCCTACGTTTCTATTTATAAGATTCTTAGAACATGAAAAATTTGTGAGAAAATAAATAGAAAAACAAAAGTAGTGCTGAATATCATTCCTGCAATACTTTAACATATAAATGTCAAACATTAATATATTAATTATTTATTTATCAAATTATATACTTACATTGATAAAATATTGACTTGTTATTATCAATATTATTATTGTAATATTATTTTTTCAGATTTTAGAAAGAAATATGTCGCTTAGCGGGCAATACCTAGAAGAATTAAGCCGTCGTTATAAAAAGCAAGTCGAAGAAATGCAACGTTCATTGGAGCGTGCGGTAGCCGCTATGGGCGAGGAATCTCGAAAAGGCGAGGAGCGTGATGCGAAAAGAGCAGAAGAAATCGCTGCGTTGAGGGAAGAAATTACTATGCTCTCCAAATCAGTTGAAACTCTTCTTTATGATCGAGATAGTTGGCGCAGTCGAATATCTGTGATTTTCCAGCACGCCTTGTTGATCTGCTTGGAAGTCATTGTCATCATTTTGATTCTCTCTTACTGTCGTAGAAGAGAAAATTTTGAAGAAGAAAAACTCGAATCGGATACAAAAAAGGATACTGTACGTCGCAAAAGCGCAGAGAATTTCGGTTTTTACGGCACGGCGAAGAAAACGAAAAAGCGACGACCCAGCGAAATCGCTTCTCATATTAGTGGCACTTATCACGAGTTGATGATCGACGATCGACCGCCGGAGAAGAAGAAGGAGCGAAAGAAAAAACGTAAGAAAGAAACGATCGCTGCCGGAACTATAGCAGTTAATAACGACGTGAGACAAGATGTGGTTCGATATAAGAGCGTATTGAATGTAATCCCTGGCGGTACGACATTGCCGTCGAGAAGAGTATCATCCATAGATCCTCCACATTCCAAGGAATCACAGAGCTCAACGGGTAAAAGATCGGAATCCGCGCCCGAGTCCGCCGTCGGTTGGTATGATGATCGAATAGAAAGGATAGAACGGAGGTCAGTACCAGAGGATAAAACTTACGACATGGAATCTGGTACGAGTTTTGAATCCGATCATCAAGTTGACAAGCTCGGTAAGCCCAACTCGTTGATTGAGGACAGACATGTAGAAGGATTAAATACGGTTGAACGGAAGCTGTCGAAAAACGGCTCGTTTAGAGCCGGCAGTATTCTCAAAAGTGCGAAACTGAGTTCGCCGTCCTTTATGAAAACTGCCTTGGTTACGAGGAACAAAAGGAAGCTCTCCGCGAATTCCAACGAAAAATGGGAATGGAGCCAGGACTCGGAGAATTCGAACGATAGGTCCTCTCAGTCCAGCCCCACAGATTTGAAAATACTGTTACAGACTGTCGGTGATCGTGCCAATGGCAGTGCCGCGAACGGCTTGATCGAAGAGAGCGATGAGTCGAGGAGCAGTAGTGCTACACCTACATCGGCTAAAAAAGAGAAAAGAAGCACTGGCTTGAAAAAAATGGTGAGGAAGTTTTTCTGATTGAAGTAGACCCGCCACAGATACGAGATTGAACATTGATCTTAGCGTCAAATCGATTGCCATATAAATTTTATATATTCATGAGAATTTTCGGTTTGATCTTGTTTCACATTTTTGTCTTACTTTCTTTGTCTTATTTTTCTTTAAATTTAATTATTCTAAAAACACAAATTTTACTTGTCATTGCGTGATAAAGTAAGATAATTAATTTGAGCACAAAACGTGAAAATAGCAGCTGAAGCAGGATTCAGCCAAATAATCTCGCGAATTTAACCGAATTTAATTTAACCGAATGTACGAGTATTCACATCTAGAGAATGAAAAGTAGTCAAACGAAGTTAAAGAAAACTTGTCATAACTACAAGACACAAATAGTCTGAGCACGATCTTTACTTCACAATTACTAGTCTTTCTATGAATTAGAGTAAAAACAATGTGTGTTAATTGTTAAAACTGATTAAAGTTTAATTTTTGTCTGATTAAAGACTGCATATAATTTGAAGAACATATTAAACTTCGAGAAAAGGAGAGTTAAGATTATTTCCACGATTTTTAAGTTTTGTGGATCGAAATCAAGAAGAACTTTTCACATGATTGCCTAAATTTGAAAAGCTTCCATCATATTCATAATGTAGTCGATGGATTCATCTTCTTCCGATAATTTTTTTTCTAACGAGTGCAGTATTTTGAAATCCAGATTTTTGCAACGGTATGATTTGCCGTCAAGTCTGAAAATTTTGATTAATATAAAAGCACGAAAGCCTTGTTGATTAATAAATATAATTAATTGATAAGATTAATTAATAAATTAATTGATAAGTTTGTATAAAAAAAGCAAAATGCGGAAGAAGAATGAAAAAAATATCAAGAAGGAAAAAGAATTCATCAACTATCTCATGTCAACTATCTTATGACGATGCTTAGTTTTATGCGCTACTATCAGAACTGCACTTTATTTATTAGTGATAATAGTATCGTACGTAATAAGTTTGGTATAAACATGGGGCGAATGCAGCGAAATACGTCAAAGTTTATTATAAAGCAACGCCAACGTCAGATTAAGCGTGATCCCACCGTTGTGAAAACTAGGAAAAGATGAATAAAACGACTTATGAAAACTTATAAAAATAGATTAGTTTACGTAGAATATGTAATTATGCTTGATCTTAATCGACACAACGGCAGTGACTACAATAGTCTAGAAGATATTTCTATGATTTTGTTTTCGACTATTTGGATTATTTAATTTTTATCTATGATTTATCGCCAAAGAAAAAAGAGAGAAAGAAAGAATGATAGAAGGAATGTTATGAGCAAAATCTTAGAACATTAACAATAATTGTTATAGCCAACATTTATTATTGCATAATCAAAAAAAAAATTAATTTTCATCGTCAATGGCATGAATACATGAAATAACATTAATAGTAGAAAGTAAAAAAACATTAAATTTCTTAATTCTACCAATGATTAACATTTAATTTATTATTTTTTTATTAATATAAAAATATTAATTAATTAAGTTTTTAATTATAATATAAAAATATATGATAAAAGAAATGAATAATTAAAATAAATCAATACAATGTTTTTGTTTCTAGATTATTCAAAAAATTGGCCAGAAAATTTCATATAAAAAACTGTTAATTCGACTGTGATTTTTTTATACAAAGAATTATCTTGAAAAATTTTTATTCCAACTTTTAATTTGTGGAGTTGGCATAGTACTTTATAAATGCACTATGTATACTTAATTATGTGTTTTCATTATTTTTGATTTTATAAATTTTAATCAATACTTTTATTTCGAATGAGTCTTTGAATTTTAAGTGAATGTTTATATCAATCATGATTTTCAAAAAAAATTAATTTTTGCGCTCGGGTGTAAGAATTAGATAAACTCAGTTTTCCAACGAATAAATTTTTACTTACATTAAAACATTAATTGATGTATGAGCTTGTCTGTTCTAGCTAAGAAAAAGTCATGCTGGTCATTTCCTGTGTGTTAATAATAGTTCTTATAATCAAAGAATACAAGAAAAATATAAATACAAGAAAAATAGCTGGAATGAAAAAAATTGCGATTTTTATTATATATTTCATCATTCAATGAGGAAATATACTGATATGAATAAATATATAATAAATATATGATATAATGATATTAAAATAGATTTCTCTTCTTTTTCTTTATAAGAGTAAAAATTGTAAATAATAGATTTTGTATCAAAATTTTCGATTGTTATTGACCGTTGAAAATTTTCCGAATTTTATTTACGAATGAGAAAGAATTTGAAAAGTAATCGAGAGACGTTTTCTATTTGCTCCATCTTTCTCGAGATATCAATCGATTTGATTTGATTTCTCTAAAAACTTGCCGTTCTCGTCTTCCGACAATATACATATAACGTTTATTCTATGAAAACACGAAATTCTATAAATATGGTACTTTTGACATAATCTTTTAATCATCTTTTTCCTTCGAGATTTAGATTTACGTCATAAATTTAATGCTAAGTACAACCGTATAATCTTTTAAATATGACAGTATATGTAGCATGACTGTTATTTAATTAAATAATAAATAGTCGGCTGTGTTTAGCGCTAAACGTAAAATGCAGATTTTTTTGTCGATATACTAATTTTACCGGGCATCCACTGTGAAAATATTATATATATTATATAAATTAAATATTCGAGAGAAATATGTAAAAAATTATGTTTAAAATATGTAAACTCGAAATTCTGTAGATGTATACAGTGATATATTGATATTATCATTTAATCTTTCTTTCTCCAAGATTAAAATTTACATCGCCGAAAAAAATGTAACGACGTTTCTTTGTCGACATACTAATTTTACCGAACATTCGTTTGTGGAGGTATTTGGGAGATTAACGATTGTGCCAGCATTTTGTATCTGATAAAGAAAAATGCGCTGTGATAAAATTTTCTTGATAATTATGGAAAATGCAAAATGCAGACGAGTGAAGTGACGTAGGAAAAACAAGGAAAGAATTAAAAACTTAAAGACAAGTGAAAAGAAGGAGTGAATTCAGAACTTAAACTTTAATCGAAAATGTGTCCTATTACTTAATGTGCATTTAAAGACTATAAATAATAATTTTGACGCGGAATGTACATGGTATACTTGTGGTATAGAATGACCGAGACTGGTTTTCGCGAGCTTTTAGTGAATATATTATCTAGATGTAAGTCTTATTGTTACTTTGCGTTATAAACGTCGATCCGGTGATTATTTATATGCGATATGACGGAATATTTAAGGAGTTTTATATCATAATTTTCATTATTACACATGAAATCATCATATTAAAATAACGAATATTTGTGTATGATATGTCATGATTTTTATAGAGCGATGTGAATTACAAATTAAACGAATATGCGGAGCTCGTTTCCAGCAGTTGCATTACTTTTGTTAGTGTGATTATATTTATTCCTCCTAATTTAATATAAAAGGATATGTGTCATGCACGGACAGCAGATAACAAAGAAAGAAAAATGACCTGCAATTATTATAATAAATTATATTATTTTATATTATAACATACAATTATTTACGACAAAATATGTGCGATTGTATGTTACTTAAAAGTCTATATTGCAGAGAAAATTCAATTCGATAATTAATAAAATTGCGATACATGAAATTTAATGTAAGAGATGTATGCCTTTATATTAGATTACAAAGTATTAATTTAAGTAATTTCCGAATATTTTTGCATATCTCTTTATGTGCATTACTATAGAAATATTTAATAGAATTAATATATTATTTAATATTCGAAAAAGTGTATAATAATTAAACGTAATGTTTAACAGTCACGACGTAAGAGAACACTACATATCGTTTATTTACAGTTGATAGAATTGTCTAATAATCCTTTCTCTATTCGTTATTGATTAATTTCCGAGGATTATTTATAATGATTTATATCTATATTTTAATTATTAAGTATAATGTCTACGAAAAAATTCTTTTATTGTTCTATGACGTTACTGATTATACATATATTAATAATGTTTTAGAAATATTAGAGGAATCGAGCTACGTTATTTTCGGATGGTTATCTTATACTAGTCTATAATTGCGAAACATCCGTCATTTATATTACAAGACATTAATTTTTTTCGACAGGAAAATTTCTAATGCATACACACGATCTTTTAATTTTTATAAACGTATGAATGTTTAGAAAAAAATGTAATGCCAAGTTTGAGTGAAAATGTTTGAATGTATTTTTAAATAGGCATGTACAAGAAATTGTGTAAATATATTGTAGAACAAGTGATATGGTAATTGTGAAACGGGTAGTTATTCTCTACAGACTGTTCCCATTTATAAATTTCACACATTATATATAATATATTTATTTATATATAAATACATATGTATGTATGTGAATGTGTGTGTGAGTGTATGTGCCAAATAAAATACGTATTTGTTTATAATAAATATGTATATTATATATAAAAATTTGAACAAAATGAATTCTATAAATTTTGCTTTGGAAAGAAGCAGAGAATACATTAAATTGCAATTAAACTCCGATCATCAATTGTGGGAGCAGTCATATGAAAATAAAGTTCTGATGTTAAATAATGGATATTTATTTAACTAAACCAACATTTTTTGTATCTACATTTTCAATATTCATTTATTAAGTGCAGTGATGCGCAAGAAATGATAAATGATATGTTGGATATTCATACGAGTTATTCATATATCATATTGCTGTACATGCAGCATTTCTATGTCAATGTTATATAGACGTTCAGATTCGCTATCCGAGTACCCTCATGTTATTTTATACTTGTTCATGATGAATGTTAAACAAGGATAAAATAACACATGGAAGCTTGGCTGGGGAATCTGAATGCATCCTTAAATGACAATTTACGAATTTTTTATTATACTTGTAAATACTTTTCTATACTTGGACATATATTTACAATATATCCAAAAGAATATTTAAATGATTTCATTATTTTGCGTATTAGAAAGGTATAAATAAAAAAATGGAAAAAGTTATATATATATATATATATATATATATATATATATATATATGTGTGTTATTTGCGCCTACTATTGAATGTTTAGTCAATTATGAATAATTGTTTCATTAATCATAATATTAAGTTCCAATTATTGCTTGTAATTAAATTATATCTTTGTAAATATGAGAGTAATGCATATAATGAATTAATGGAGGAGTAAAATTGCCAAAAGGTTCATCATCATATCCTTAGATTGTGGATTTTATCAAATTCATATCTTTTAAAAGACAGGAAGAATGAGCTCACTGCATGTTTAAAAAATAATTATGGAAACATTTAATATAATTTCTTTCTTTGTTTAATGATTGATTTTTATGCTATTTTTTATGCTAAATAGTTTTACTTATCGTGAATTTTTTATTATGTTTCATAAATAGTAAAATATAAATTCAAATCACTATAAATAATGATCACTGAATTGTACAATGATAGATGTTGTGAAAGATAAATATTGAACTATTAAAAATTATATTTCAAATTTTATTTCTCACAACGAATGCGTTTGTACAAAATGATTAAGATTCCGTAGATAAACTTTCTAAAAGTGTGGAAACATCAAATGCTTCCTTAAAAGAGGATAATTTTCTTGCAGCTGCTTGTTTGTTCAAATCAATAACAGCAAGTCTAAGTTTATTTCTCCATTCCTTTGGATTGTGTTTTTCTATGGAACACATCACAATTTCATTTACTTCATCTTGAATGGCGTGACAAGCGATCGATTGGAATACAGATTTCAGGTCATCCTTGACTTTCTGTTTCAAACTCTTGTCTCTACTGACCAAATTCAAAATAAAAAGACCGTCCTTTGTCAAACATGCCGCAACTGCTTTTAAAACTGATATTTCGAGAAATTGTTTAGGCGGACAACTCATTCCAATAGTAGTATCTTTGCTATCGATATCGAAAAGTATCGCCTTGTATTTTGTTTCAGATATCGCAACATCTTTTATATATCGAATTCCATCTGCAATCTCCACTTTCATTCGATCATCAAGAATGACATTAAAGTATTCTGTAGCCACTTTTAGCATCGCATTGTCAATTTCGACTGCAGTAATTTTCAGCTGGAGAAAAATTAAAATTTTTTTATTTGTATTAAAAAGAAAATTCAGATATGTGTTCAACGATAGTAATGCATATTATTTCAAAATATACTTACTTTGGGAAAACAATGATGTAAGAACAGGCATAGACCACCACCTCCAAGTCCTATGATCATAATTTCGTCCTGTATCTTTGTGTCTATTACCGCATTCACTCCAGCACTCATATGTATGTGATGTTCACAAGCCAAAAATCCAGGATCGACAATTTTCTTCGTTTTACCACGCCTAGATTTTGCTGTAAATAATTATATTGACAATCATGTGTAAATATTGCGTAACGATTATCATAAAATTTCCAAATTCATTGCAGATTAGTACCTTCCTTCAGTCTAGCTTCGCTCTGAATAACATATGGGTTATTCAGAAATATAAGCCGCCTAAACTCATGGTTATCCTTTTTCACTTCTTCAATAACGAATGGTCCACTGATGTCGCTCTTTCCTTCGTAGCAAACAGTTCGAACCCCGACATCGGAACCCAAAGACAGAAAGGGAATATCGTTCTTGTCGCATAAGCCGGCCGGTGCTAAATTACGAACGCAATCTTCCAACTCCGCTTTGACGGCGTCCCAATTTTCAAACTTGTGTTCTCTACGTAAGGTGACGATCGCGAGTCTATCTCGCTGCGCGCTCTTCAAGACTTGTTGTCGTCCTTCTTTCGTACTAAATAACCAATCTGTTTCTCTAAATCAAGAAAAAAAATATAGTCTCAAGATTACAGCAACTAGCAAAATATTATTTGAACATACTTTCCCTGTGGGACGATGAAAGCCGCATACGTCTTTGCCCCATGTGTACGCGGTTGATCGAGAACGTAGACGGTGTATCGTGGATGTTCGTCACCAGGACGATGCAAATCCAACGATACTTCTCCTACATCCGCGACGCTTCTCTTGTAAAGACTGTTGCACACTAATGCCGATTGTTGCGCGGATAAAACCGCGGATATCATGTCGTCCGTTGTAGATAATCGTTCAGGTGGACCATCGACCAGAGCTATTTCGAGAACCTATCGGGATTACAATCTACAAAAATAAGGTCAACAAACCTGCTCACCTGGTTAAGACTAAGATAATATAAGAATTCGAATTCGGTCTTTTGTTATTAAACATACGGTTTGCGATAATTTATTGAATTTTGTAGCAATGATCACAAAGACGGGAACCGAACTGCCTTCCTCGACGCGTGCCTTTGATTCGGCTTCATGACACCGCGTTATGCGGAACATAAAGCCCGAAACAGGAAAGTATGACAAGAGTTTACGCAAGATGTGCTCCTGTAGCAATGATATGCAGATGTACCTGCCTCCATTCCGTAACACCCGTGTGATTTCCTAGAATAAATTTTATTGATTTATGAGGAAAATATTACAAATTTTGTGTTTTTGTATAATAATCTTTTTTTAAACTTATTTTAGGAAACTTACTTTAAAATATTTATCAATTATAGATACTGTTGTTTCTTTGGCATCTGGCATTAGAGCATCCAATGTACCTTTGTCAAGAATCACACTAAATTTCTCATCAGGATATGTCATTTTCGTGGCATCCATATGTTCATATATTAAATCTGGCCTGGTACCGTTATTTATGTCACGCATTTGCTTGATGACAATATGTGATATATCAATATTAATGATATTTCTGAAAGGTCAACTTTTAAATTTATTCAAAAAAATATGAATATTGACTATGTAGATAATTTAGCCAGCTATGATTGCAAAGAACTCATTACAAAGAATATATGAAGAACTGTACCTATAACCAACATCATACAAAGACATACTTAATGTAGAATTCCCACAACCAACGATTAAGATGTCATCCTTCATTTTGACATATTTCACAAGTATTTCGCATAATTCTGGATACTCGCCATACCTGAAACCAGATAGACTAGTGAATAGCAAATTACAATAACATTGGTGAATGTTTATAAACACCAAATTAAAATTTTATAAAAATGTACTTATTTAAGTCCATTTTATCTAAAAGCAAAGTCTGGGAAGAAAAAAATCGTTCTGCACTATAAAAACATTAATGAGAAAAATTTAATAAGAAAGTTGACTCTTTTTAAGTTAATTTAAATTTCAATAATTTTTTTAAAGCATCGAGCAATGATTTTTCTTTTCAAACTTTCGTTTTTATAAAATGAGTGTATTAAATTTTGAGAAATTTTTAAAGTAAACGTTTATCAAAAAATTTATAAAACATATGTAGCTACAAAAATCGTACCATTCAAAAGCCTTCTTCCCACGTTTTTTGAAAAATGTATTCCAGTATTCCGCCTGACTAAATTCCTCGTGTGTTTTCGGAAGGAGATTCATATTTTGTTTGTTGAAAATTGCTACAAAATTGCAACACTGCTGAGAACAAATGTGAAAACACGTGTTGTTTCCAGGTTATGTCGCAGACTAGATTTTAATATTGCGTATTGTACAATGGCACGTAGCACTGAGCAAACTTGCATTAACAGAATAATAAATCATGACAAAATCAGCAAACTTGATATCATTCCTTTGCAATATTTTCGATCTTTTGAAGAAAAAATACAAAAAAACGACATAATACCAGCAACAACCTGCAACGCGAATTGTAGATTGTTTTTATATATTTTTATCAACTTTCAAAAACCGACATCTGTGAAACTAACTAAAATGCTTTTACATCGCATCATTTCTTCGGATAATGCAGACATTTATCTTTTCTGCTAAAGATAGACTAACAACCAAGCGACATTAACATTTTTGTTTACGAATTACTCACGTGATGTCGCTATTATTTACAATACTAATTTCGAGTCGTTGAGCATAGAATATCTAACGAATATTGTTGAAGATCATCGACTTTATAATTAGATAAATTTTCATTACCAAAATGAAATTCTAGTGACTTGAAGATAAATGAAAATCAATAATATTAGAATAAAATTTTCAATTCTGCACATCAATAGCTGATAAAAATAATAGTAAAAAATTAGCTCATAAAGTGAAATTAAATTCGTAATTTATTATTATATAGATATTTTATAAGTAAGTATTTTGCTTTAAAATTTTTTACGTCAAATAAAATTATGATAAAGCTTCATTATTGCTGTTAGCATCTTGATTTTTTTTAGGTTTTTAATGGAAAAGCTGTTTTAACATATATTTAAATTAGAGATAACATTTAACTTATTTTTCTTCTGATTGGAATATATACGACGATAGAGGTTTGTTACTTTAAGTTTTGTTTATGACTTTATTTCGCTCTTTTCGTCTTTATACTTTCACTACCATGTTAGTCAAATTTATTTTGCGGCCAGTCGTTTTTGTGATAGACGTGATGCGATTTGTAAAAATACCAACAGTATCTTGCTAATGGTGAAAGCATCAATCACTCGCATCTTTGTCCATTGCAATTACTTTTCGGAATTTCAGAATTTATGAGTATGCAGTGAAGAAATAACATTTATATATACGTATATCGCTCACTTGCTACATAATGATATAATTCAAAAAAATTTTCAAAAATGAATTTGAATGCTTTGAATTATTACAATTTTGTAATGTCATCTTCATATGAAATTTTGCTTGAATAATTGATTGTGGAAAAATAAAAATATTAATGCTTCATATATGTCTTTTTTATGTATTATATATATTTAAATTTAAATTTAAATTTGAATTTAAATTTGAATTTGAATTTTTAAATTTAAATTTTTGAAATTTAAATTTAAATTTTGAATTTGAATTTTTAAATTTAAATTTTTAAAATTTGAATTTGAATTTGAATTTTTGAAATTTGAATTTGAATTTTTAAATTTAAA